CAAAAGCCAGACTCATTTGTTAATGACAGGAGGTGACCTTTCCTTTGCAGCACTCAAGGACTTGGAGGGGGTGGTGGTGACACACAGAATAGCCTGGAAGCCTGCAAAATGCAGCCAGACGGCAACGCTGACAACGTCTCCCGAAAAATCTCGGCTTGGGTAAAGACGTACAGGACGCGTTTGGGATGACAGCTGTAATTGCCTCTGCTGTCAACTTCCAAAAAGTTCTCGGGGTTTGAGCCCATCGCAGCCGTCGATGGCTGAAACATTTGCTTTAGTGAAAGGCACCGAGGAGCAGAGGCGGTCTGATCCCATGCACCTCCAGTAACGGAGCTGGCAACTAACCTTAGGTTGCCGCGTTTCTGCCCGTTGCCTTGACAGTGGCCTTCTTTTCCCAAAAGGCTCGGAGGGTGCGCGCCCTTGCACCGCGCGCTCCGGTCGCTGCCGGGAGCCTCCAGCACGCGCTCCTGCCCGGAGCGGGCTGGCAAAGGCCTTTTCCCAAGAGTATCAGTACCGCGGGGAGCGGGAGGAGCAAGGTGTGGAGGAGCGAGTGGGGCCATAAAGCCATCTATTTATTTTGGTGGTGGTTTAGATTGCTTTAAGGGACGATTTTACTAACTCAGGGATAAAAACTAAGCGTGCTTGTCAGTCGCTGTTTAGTGACCAAGTAACATATAAACAAGATTTTAGCAACTTTATAGCTTAAAGTTGCTATACTTCATTCTCTCCCTTTTAAGGCTCATTCAGAGGGCTAGAAACCAAGCACCTTCAAAATTACTATTCCTTTCTAGTAACTGTCCGGTACGTTTTAGTTTGAGCAGTATTTTGAACCTCAGTAAAGCAAGAACTATCACATCTGTCATTAGCAGCAGTACTTAAAATAAAGATATCAAGTCCAATAATAAAACACAGATGCACGCTGTGTGTTTCCAACAATGACTTAGACGAAAAGAATTAGCAGTAACAGGGATACAGCTCACTAATTTAAAAAATAGCCAGGAAATTGTTTTCAGATGTTAAAATTACTTCGATTAAGTTACTACAACTTTTATTTTCTTGCGAACGCATCCCAACTTACGACAACTAATACCTTGGAGGTTTTGGGGTTTTGTCCTGTCCCTCACCCTTTCAACAGGGGTTTGTAACGCATCACTCACTTTCAATCCACTTTCCATAGCTGGCGCAGGAGCTGCTGTAGCCGGCGCTTCGAGGAATTGTGTCAGGCTTTTCCCTGCATGTTTAACCACGAGCATCCTTCCCTGGCTACTGCAGACCCTCGCCTTTCACGCCAGCCGAGCCCTGCTCGCAGCTTCCTTGTCTTACTCCCCCCGCCCCCTTCAGCAAAGGCTCCAACTTTGGGTGAGCTCAGTTCCACCTCAACTTCTACTAGGTAACGAGGCTCACACTTTGTGTCAGCCAGCCTGCCTGCATATTGCCTCTTTCCCCATTTTTCTCTTAACATCTGGCATACTCATTTTACATTTTGCACAGTGAGGCAGAAGTATTAGATCAGTTATCTACACCATGCAGATACATCAAGAATTCCATAGTTATTGGCCAGAATTGCTAATATTGTAGTTAAGCTGCTACTGAGTTAATAACCTTAAATGCAGTAGCTTAAACTGACACCAATTAACACCAGAGAGGATCTAATGCTGCGGTTTTCCCCAGATTTTTTAACTTACACGGTATCATGATGCTTCTGCTTTTTCTCAACTTAGTCACAGTACTTGTGCATTTTGAAGGATGCCATTATGCGCACGCTAACTTCTTTCCTATCAGTACAAACCAACATTCTCTTCTTTCTCTGCAACTGCTCCTTGTCAAAGAGTAAATTTTCAGCGGCACACTTTTGTCTCCTAACTCCCCAGCTGAACTATGACCTCGCAGCCCAAAGACCCCCTGCTTAGGTTGCAGTTCCTTTTCTTAGGTCAGATAGGAAAGAACTCGACCGTGTATTAAAATAGGAGCTTGCTAAGTCCTTGCTCATGGATCGCTCAGTTTCCCACTGCCGCTCCAAGGGCTTTCCGAGGCAACACCTCCCATCCCATGCAAAGGAAAGGAGCCTCCCTCCCCCTCAGCACAGAACCAGGGGAAACATTTTTCTTTTAAAAATTAGGATTAGCTACCAGGTAACTTCTGAGTTTAGACTGGGCAGTGAGGACAGAAAGCATTTCATTGTGCTAACTCAAGTTTTCTGGAGACTTTTTATATAAAACTATTGAACTGAATGTCCTCCATAAATTTTATCTTTATTGTTTCCTCCAGAAGAGACAGGAGGAATGGGCGGGGGGAGGGGGGGAAGAAAGAGTATACAGGATTGTTTTCTTCTTGTAAGAGGCTAATCCACAGGGGGTAAAAGTTTAATTATCTTAGTGTAAATAGCATGTTTGTTTAGTGCTTTCATGTATATTTCCAAATTAAGTAAGTAGAGCAATGCTGCTGTTTACATCCGGATGCCCAAACCTCCCCACACCTACGTGAGTTAACAACAGATCGCAAACTCTCTCAGGCCAACTATAGGGTAGGGGGAAAGAACTATTTTTGCTCAGAGAATGCCTTTAGACCAAGACGTGCTTACAGCATAATGTACTATAAATCATTTTGTGAAAGAAGTAAATACATTGTGTCACTGGTGTAGACAGAAGCAAGGATTATTATGCCATCAGTCATCTTTTACCAATATGCAATTAGATCTAACACTGTACTTCCAAATAAGACCATCTCCTTGAAATTATACAGTGATATTTCTTTTAACTGAACATGTACACTGAAATATACAAGTAGAACATGCCTTTCTTTTTTAAAAAAAACCTACTGACCATTGCTGCTTACAAATAATGTACATTATTATTCCACCAATTGTAAGGAAACGTCTTAAACAGAAGAGCAAGATTTTCAATCAAGTAAAAAGATTAGTTACTTGCATAGCTTAGACTGCTTCTGAAGTGTGATTTTATTCTTAGTTTTGCACAGACAGAACAAAAATTGAAATCCTTCAACTTCACAGTGTATATAAATTATCTGAAGTTGTTCTGCAGCTGAAATCTTACGAAGGCTATTGATATCACCCCCCTTGCACACACAAAGCCTTCACCTACTGTTTAAATATTCCTGTTTTACAAGCAGCACAGTTAACAGTGGCACTGAAGGATGCATTTACTCAGGGAACAGCTGATGAAAATATTTTCCTGTATTTAAATGAGATGTCATTACAACTTTGCTAAAACAAACCTTCTGTTTATAATGGAAGTTAAAGCAGTCCCAAAACACTGTCATTAATCCTCCAAGTCCCTGTAACAGAACACATCAGTTCCCAGATGTTTAACAGGAGGTCATTCCTAACTGTGTACATAGTCATATACACACACACATACATATATGAAACAAAGAAAGGCTTGTATACTGACTTGACAGATTCACCATGATTTTCTTGCTTGGATTTGCTAGGAAAACCAGCATGATTTATCAGTTTTAGGCACCTCACACATTTACAGGGAAGACTGCCATTTTTGGACCACCTTCTCCCAAAGCTGTATTAGACCACAGACTCCTCTATAGCAGACTATGAATCGCTGCTTTCATTGCCAGTTTGTTTTCTTTCTGGATCAAGAGAACTGCCTTCAAATAAAATTTTGTTTCTCATTCCTTCTTTAAGCATTCTTTGCCGGATCCTGTGTTGGGCCAAATTGTACCTGCAGTAAAACCTAGAGGAGGGGATGAAAAGAAAACATGATTCCCTGCTTTATATGACTGACAGTATCAAATCAGAGTTATTAAGCCAGCTGAAAAGTTGAAACCACGTATAATAATGCTAGTAAAATTCATTATGAAATGATGCATAATGAAAATGCTAGGGTAAGTGCTATTTCTTTAAAGCAAACGTTATGCAGCCACTGAGGAGCAGGATATACCAGTCCAATGGAAAATGCTAATTTCTATAATTAGGATCTTAATTTCATGACCATTTAGTATGCTGCCTTTAAAATTAGGACAGAAGGATGGCATATGTGAAGGAAAAAAGAAAGAATTAAGAAAGACGGAAATAACTGGGTGGTTTGATCTCTTAGGATTCAAGAAACAATAGCAAGTGGTTTTTTTTAAAAAATGAACATAAAAATTCAAAGTCATTGAACTCTCTTCCTTTAAAAAAAAAGAAATATTTCAGGGAGAAGGAAGAGGACTCTTTGCTAGGCAAGTTTTTCATGGAGTTTCAAAAACCATGTGAAAGGTCACACGGGGATCATGTTGCACAAAGCAGCCAACACAGGTCCGTCAAAATTCAAGAAGCATTTTACATACCAGTATCCTAACATTGTGCAAATAAAGCCACCGACTGCAAAGTCACAAGATCTTCTAACTCTACCTGAAAGAAAACAAAAAAATCCTCCAAAAAATTAGAGAAAAAACCCTGGATGACTTCCCATTATTAATAAAACCCAAGAGCAAATAGGAATGAATTTTTCCTTGCAAATAAATATGTAAAACTCAGAAGGAATAAGTACTTACTAGTTGCTAAAAAATGTCCAAGACCCACAACTAAAGATCCCACGGAGCCATAAAGCACCGATTCTCGTGCACATGGGACGCTTTTAACGTCAAGAAATCCTAGGAGTTTAAAGGACTGTAAGAAAAAAAAAACCAAAAAACAACCATGACATAAACACTTTTGTAGAAGTCTACAATGCCAACTCCATTGTAAAACTGACTTGTTATCTTAAAGGTCAAAAATACACACTTGAGGATTTCCTACTTCAAGGGTAATATCTGAGTAAAAGCAAACATGCACAGCTCTATCAGGAATGATTTTGGAAGAGTTAACTACCGATACAGGCAACATCATTTTGTACAAACCTGTTGGTCCATCCTTTCTATTGAATATTATAAAAGAACTATTTCATTTTTTCCTTTACATTCCCCAAAAAAGGAAGGGAGAACACCCCCTAAGAATCCAGGATCTTTGTTCAAAACCAACATACATCACAACAAACAGGTAAGGTTACAATCAATTATGCAGTTAGTAATGCCATGTAATTTTAATACCTGAAAAGGCAAGTGTGCTTAAAAAAAAAGTGACATTACTGGAGAATTCACATGTAGTAGAAAACCTTATACTGAACATTGAATAAAAACATTTATCAACCAGTAATTTTAACCTAATCCTACATATAGACAGGGGTTGTGCACAGAAATTCTTCTATATGCAACATGTAAGTTTTTAAATGAACCTACTGGTAAAAATTATTCAAATTATTTCATACTCTGCCTCACATTTATAACCTACTCCAGCTTCTATCTATCAGTTTTCTATTCAATTTTCAAACAGTAATTACATGTGGCATTCATAAACCCAACTGTGAACTGACAAATATGTTTTTCATTTTAGAGATGCCTACACTGGCTTCTGCATAACCCGAGTCTTTTAACTCGTATTTCCCACCTGACAAACATCCTTGCAAATGCAGGCTGGCGCCACAAGCAGGAGTGAAAAGGCACATACAAAAAGGCCTCAAGACCACCTGGATCAGGGTTAAGGTGGCTGCAGCATAGTAACATCTGCACACCTTTCTGCTGTTAATTCTTTTGTTAGGGATGGTGTGAAAATTTGTCTTCATTCCGTTGTGTTTGAATCCTTAGACCATTAAGTATCACATGTGCAACGGTATCACCTACAATCTTGAAAGATGATTTTTAAATGGTTTTAATTTTTTTTAAAGCTATTCTACTTGGACAGAATAGATTTTGAAGATGGAGTACTACAGTCAACTATGTGTGGAGGGCTGAGAACTCTGCAAGACAACTCATTGTGAAACACATCTGACTGTGGCAATAGGGATGGCAAGCATCTGACAACAGCTGGATTTGTATGCAAGTATGGAAATCCCCATCAATAATTTTATCTACGTTCCCTGTGGACGACCATCAGCTGTTTCCACATAATCCCTGTGTACAAACGAGACAAAAAGGATTTGGTCTATGTTGGTCTAGTCTCCTAACAAGTAATTTCAAGCACTCCCGTATGGAAGAAGTCACTTGATATGTTGCTGTTGTTGGCTAAGAAGGTATCCCTGCTACATCCATGCAGCATGATGCATCCTTTTAAAATAGTATTTCACCTGTTGCTATACTTGACATCACTTGTTATGACTCTAACCATTGCTAACTACTGGCGTTATGAAGGCTCAAGTGTCATGACAGCGTTTCACCCACGAAGAGAAAGCCCCGTAGAGGGGTCCGTGGAAAAACAAGCACAAAACCCCCACTCCACCCACTTGGCCCTTACAGAGCCTGAGTTCTGCCGTGGGTTTCCATGTATTGTTCCCTAATTATTTCCTCTGGAGCAAAAGCAGCAGGGGTTCACAACCGGTCTGCGATAACCTCTCGCACCCCGGCGCTGGGCTCCC